TATAAGGTCCCCTCGCAGCCTTCTCTTCTTCAGGCTGAACAAGCCCAGCTCCCTCAGCCTCTCCTCATAGGACACTCCCCACCGGAATTTCTGGGGGGCAACTTTTCCAAAGAAATAAGCATGAGCCCCGCCATAAAATATTATTCAGCCCTTTTTTCACCTGTGCTTTAAAAACACCCTGTGTTTTGTCGCTTTTCCCTCTTCTCCCCATTTTTTCCAAACCAGCAGCAGTGCCCTCGCCCCATACCTGTTCCTGGCGCAGCTTCTCTGCTTCCAGTTGCTGCCGCATCTCCTGCAGTTTTGCCTTCAGCTCCTGCACCTCATCCTCCATTTGCTCCACCTGCTTTGTCTTCTGCCTCTCTGCAAAGCCCAGGGAAACAGAGGCGACGTGAACAAGGGTGCAATCTGCCAGCTCCTACTGGGATTTCGCTTTGGGTGGGGAGGAATCCTACTCAGGCATCAAGCAAAACCGCTGTAGGGTTTCAGGGTGGAGAAGCAGATAGCTGAGCTGCGGGATAAACCACGACAAACGCGGCCATGCAGCCTCTGATTATTTTTATTTATTTATAATTTTGGTGAACTTTGAGAGATTAGCGGCTCGTGGAGACGCGTGGCTTTGCACTGGGCTTGCTCCCCCGAGCAGCCAAAGTGCCCTGCTTGGACGTTTCGGGCTGCACCGAGGAAGGTGTCTCTGGAGCAAAGCTGGACCTGCTGCATTGCTTCAGCCCTGGGCTGGGGATTCAACCTGCCAGCAAACAGCAAAAGCAGCTCTTTTTATCTGCCAAGTTCAAGTGCTGGGTGCAGGTGATGCTGTAACACGGCTCCGTGGCTCTCACACCTGCAGCTTTCAAAACATTTTGCAAAGAAGCATCAATTCCTTGCCAAAAAGGGGGCACGGGGAAGGTGAACCCCTCTCCCACTGTAGCAGCACACTCTCCCGTACTCCCCAACTTAGCTCCATCCCCACGGTCCCATGGAACCTTTGGGTGAAGGTCCTCAGGGAAACCGAGGCACAGAAATGAGCTGTAAACGCACAGGCAGTCTCATATCCAACTGCATCTCCTACCTGTGCTTGAGGAAAAGGCAGCAAGCAGAAAGCACTCAGTCATTATTCACAGAAACTCAGAAGAAGAAAGAAGTTATGAGAAATTTTCTTTGACTTCTTCTGGTCACTCTGGCTTCCAACATCTACATCCAATGGGGGGAAAACCTGCCTGGGAAAGTGAAAGGAGAAGTTGGCCCAGTGCTCACCTGCCTCGGTGGCCTCCGCGTGCCGGCGCTGCACGTGGTCTTGCAGGAAGGAGTCGTTCATGAAGGCTTTATCGCAGAAGTGGCACTGGAGATGGAGGAAAAGTCAGTGGAGGGACTGGGTTCTGCAGAAAGGGGCACTCCGCGTGTCCCCAGCGAGGCAGACAAAGCTTTGCTGCTTTAAAGCAAGAAGGGAGGCCTCAAGAGATGCAGATGTTGTGTCAGAGGTATGTAGATGGAGGGTATTAGGAGTTTTTTCTGTCTGAAGCCAAAGGAAATCCCCTTTAGCAGTCAGGAGAAGGCAGAAGACAAGATGGTGCAAGGATACTGCTTGGGGGAAAAAAAAAATGCTGCTTTCCCCAGCAGAGCAGTGCAATAAGGTTGTCAAAGCATCAGTGAGGTCCTGCTTATAACAGGGTCCTGCTCTGGCCCTAGAGGAAGGCAGAGCTGTGCTGGCAGGGATGACGGGGCAGTAAGAACCTGAATCACCTGGTTTGGGTGTCTTCTACTCTGCAGGAGTAAGCGAGAAGGTTGATTTGGCAATGGGGAAGAAGCAGGAAAAAA